TTCGTTACGGTTAAAAATTAATAATTGTTAATAAAATAATTATTAATAAATAATTTTTCGGTAAATATTGATTAATATATAAGTATTTATTGTTCCATTATATATATGATTATTGTTGGGGATAATTTAATTCCAAGTTAATTTCAATCCCATAATTTTTGTAAGTTTTATTAATTGTAAAAGCGAGCGAATTTCTTTTTCTTTTTGTTCAAATTTTTTAAATAAAGAATGAATTAATATATATAAAATAAAACAACATTTTATTTAAATAGTTTCAAGAAAAATTAAAATATCATCATGTTCCTATCACTTAATTTATAATAGAAAAAGATAAATTTTATTTCAAAAGTTAATTTTATTAAAAATTATTTAAATTTTGAATTACTATGATCACTCTTTTTATGTTCCGACTTTTTGATGACCGGGTTTCCCGTGGAGTGACTTTTTCAGAAAACGGACTATTATTCTAACCGACTTTTAATTAAAAAATTTCATTTATTATCTTCTGTTACAATAAAAAGTACATTGGAATTTTATTTTCTTACGGATTCTTCTACTATATCATAATTATCTTTTTTCATAAATTATTTAAAATAAATTATCCGATTTTTCACAATTCCGGAAAAATTGGTTCATGGGAAACCGAGTCACGAAAATTTCGGACCGACAAGCAAACAAGCACGCAATTTTGTATATCTCCAACTAAATACTTATATATTGATCAATATTTATCGAAAAATTATTTATTAATAATTATTTTATTAACAATTATTAATTTTTAACCGTAACGAACTATCCTGCCTGCACTATACGTAACAGAAACGTGCTATTTTGGTCGCAAAGTCGCAGAAAATATGTAACGTCTCTTGCACATCGCAACGACGTGCGTAGACATGCTATTTTAATGGCAAAATAGCAGAAAATAGGTGCGTTCCGTATCGCGCATGATGCGCATGATGCATCCTTTGTCCTTGTTTAACATTTGGTGAGCAACAAGGATAAACGACGCATTATGCGCACCATGCGAGATACGGACCGCACCCAATATGTAACGTTTTTTGCACGTCGCATAGACGTGCATAGAAAATATAATGTATAGTTGGCAAAATTGATTCTCGAAGAATCTGTGGCGGTGTTTAGCGCGGATAAATATAGGAGTCAGATTGGATTGAGTTTACAAATGACAGTGTACAATTAAAAAGTAAGTAATTGTTTTTTATTCTTTTATAATTATAATTTTTGTGTACAGCTTCTCTACGCATAATATTCTCTTTTTCCGCTACTTTCAAACTGAATAATACTAATCGATAGAAAATTTGTTGAGGATCCTAACCCTATTTGCTACATTAACGGTTTTCAATATTTCGACATCAAAGACTTCATATATGACATGATCATAGATGAAACCTATTGGATAAAATATCAGGTTAAACCTAACCATAAGTTGACTTAACCAGATAATGAAAAACAATAATGAAAAACCGGGTCTTAAGTCGCAAATAGGTGCTCAACACGATGCATAAAGTCACAAATATTCGTTACTGCGATGTTGCTGTCACCAAAAATTTTACTGTTAGTCACGTGTCAACGACGTGTCTATTACGTTTCGAGAAGTCGCTGCGACGTAACGTGTGACGAGTTGGCACGTCATAGAGACATGTTTGTCATGTATTGTGCAAGCAGGGTGGCACCCAGTTGAACACGGCTCAATTGGACACGAGCCACTCACAGCGCTTGAGACTACAAAGCTCCTAAGCATCGGTCGCTGGGATTGATGGTGTCCAATCTAGCCGTGATCAATCGGGATTACCCAACGAACACAACGCGTATATCACTGCGCGTGCTAACTTGCCAAGACACTGCCG